CGGCGAGGAAACGGGGCTCGGCCGGGCCGGGGCCTGCCCGGAGCGGGGTTGGGGGCCAAGCGGAGGCGAGCGTGTCCGAAATTTGATACCGGAGCCCTTCGCAACAGCGAGAAAACCCCTCTGTCCCGGCGCAGGTGAGGTGGGCGAGGGAGGAGACGCGTCGGCGGGGGGACGGAGCCTTTTACACCCCCTGGGTAGCTCGTTGCGTCCTTTATCATCCCCGTGAGGGGAAAAAGGGGCTGCCTGGTGGGTTTTGACTCGGTGTGATTCAGAAGATCATAATTATCCGGAGTTACGAGAGGAAGCTGCCTTTCACTTGTCCTTGTTACAGTGGAAAAACAGAAGGTACTTGGAGGCTGTGGCTCAGCGATGTGACAGCTGACAAGAGGATCGGACGCGCTTCTTCTCATTTTTGAAACACGTTGCTTTTGTGCTTGGGAAGCTGGGTCAGGCCCATATTTGGGTAGTTTATGGATGTGGAATTGCAAATCACTGTGACACAGATGCTCCGCTGCTGAATACGCTACACCTGTACTGCAGGGAGTACGAAGCGCGCAATTCAGAAAGAGCGATCTGTAGCCTCAGTAAAGGTGACTTTGGCCTGGGCCGCTTTTGGCTCATCGAAGGGAGAAAGAAAAATGATGGGAGACAACAGGAAAGAAAATGGCAGGTCATATTAGGGCCATGAGGTTCACTGTTTTAATCTGCAACGGAAGAAGGGGAACGAGCATTGCCAAAAAGTAGGACGAAGGAACGAAAACAGCTGCGCTGTTCTAATTAAATCTCATTACAACAAATCCTGCACTAAGTCATCTGTTCAAACCTCACCTGGAGACAACACTGAGGAGAGAAACCTGCCCAAACCCAACCCAGGGCTGGTTCTGACTTAGTAGTTCCCATCTCTCATTTCAAGGGAGCGTGCGGGAGGCCACGTTCCCCCTTGGCGTGCATCAGTCCTTCTCCCCGTCGCTCGTGTTTTGCATTACGGTGACAGGAATCGCTTGCTCGCGTTTCTGTGTTTCCAACGTTGTAGGGATTGAGCGTTTCAGGAACTCGGGGGCGTTTGCGTCCGGTGGGTTTCTCATGCCGTGACGCGTTCCCGGAGAGCTGATCGTCAGACCTGCTCCTGTGTATCTCCTTGTAACTGCAGGTGCAAAAGCGTGCCAAGAAAACTTGACATCTCTTCAAAACTCGGTCTGTAGAGCAGAACGCCCGCTTTCTGAGCCCGATGTGTGAGGCTCTGGGAGAGGAACCCTAAGCGACCACTTTTAGAAATGTAAGACTCGATAGCTTCATATTGTCTAGCTGAAAGGAAAAACGATTCAAATGCGGAAGCTATTCAGGCCGTTACTCTCTGGAAGCCACTTTTCCATCTTTGTCATCTCCTCTTTTCAGTGTAGGGCAAGTGTCTGAAACCAGACCTCTGTCCGCAGGATTTCTTACTCCTTGGCACTGCCTCTAAGCTCCTGTAAGGCTGTCTACAGCTTTTTACTGCATGCTCTGTCCTTGCTGCTGCCTTTTTTCCCCTGTGACCTGCCCACGTTTCTTAACGCTCTGCTTGTCACACCGCCTTAATTTCAATCCGTAGTAGCAGTTTTTTACAAGAAAACTGACCCTCTCTTGTAATGTTAGAAGCACCTATTCTCCTTTTCCGTATTTACCAACCCATTTCTTTGCCAGTGACTTACTCTGACCTTCCACGACTTTCTTTTTGTATTTATCTGTCCAAACCACCCTGGAGCAGCTCTCTGCCTGTTTCGGGTGTTGCATAAAACACCACCTTGTAGCCTTGGCGTTAAATGAATGACTTGGCGTTCTTGATCTGTGTAATGGCTCAGTATCATCTTAGCAGCCCTCTGTGTAGTCTTGGGTAGTCTTAGGGCATGTGCAAAGATAGAATGAGGCCCTGGAGACGTCTGCATCTTCTCTTAAAATGTTCCTTTCTGGTTAAGGTTGACATGCATAACCAGGGTTGTAAGGAAAAGCCATGCTGCTGAGTAGTTACGTGACAGGATACGGAAAAAGGAATTGATCTTTGGAAACTGCAAGTTGGTTCCAGCTGTTTCTGTGAGCAAGGTTTGCAGAACCGACATAACAGCGCCTGCAAGGAACAACAGACTTTTTTTTATTTTGCGGGTTGCAGAGGTCTGGCTAGGCAGTCCTGGATGGGGAGCGAGTCAATCAGTGTCACTGTTTGATGCTGTATAACTGATGGACTCAAGCTATGAGATAACCTTTAGCTCACATCCCCTTTCTCAATTAACATCAGCAAGACCAGCAGGCAGTAATGAAAGCGTATCCAGATAGATGGGATTGCCGTGCTCGCCGGAGCCGCAGGGTTGCTCTGCGTGCCGCCGTGCCGTTATAGGTGTGTGATTCAGTACTCCAGAGTGTGCATCCAGACAGATGGCTTTCGAGCACTTTGTAAATGTCAATTCAGTATTCTCGTATTTACAGTCTAAGACCTGATAAGTTTTCACATCTATGGTTCCCTCAAAAAGGCTCGATGTCAACCTTAACCTAGGGAAATCTGTTC